CCAATCTTCCTATTTCAGTATGTTTTTGTTATATCTTTCATGCGTTTCAGTGCTACCCTCTCATTTCTAACAGGGAATAAATGGGTCCAGGGTTCAAATTGACAGTGATGGTGGATTACAGTGGCATGCCTCTAATAGGAATATTACTTAGCACCTAGAGAGGGTTTTGCATTTTTCAGATGCGGGTATTTAACATCTTGATCCTTACGTGCTGTGAGCAGGTTGCACGAGACTGTTGCACCCCAGTGCAGGTAGAGGCTCTATGTGGGCACAAGTGAAATTAAACTGAAGGTGGATCCTTTATGCAGCGATGTCTCAAGCCCTCTGCTCTCCTGCTTCCTTACTCATAAGCATGCAAGGTGTGAATGGGATGGAGAAAGGGGGTTTTGGAGGAGACATGGGATTAAGTGTGATCATAATGACTCTTATGAGACAATTTCCACATTTAGAGCTTGATCCAAAGCCCACCAAACTTAATGGAAAAAATCCTGCTGGCTTCAGCGGCCTTTAGACCCCGCCCTTTCGCCACATCCTGTTTACGTTAGGTGATTAATGCACAATGAAGTGCTAGCAGGATCAGTGGCTACCCTCCCAAATGGTATTGTGCCTGACCCCAGCCTAAAAAATGCAACCAATTCCTTGTCTTTTCTCCCCACCTTTGTGCATGCGTGGAGGACTGATGTTTTGTATGAAGGTCCTGGGTCTTTGCAGCCATGTTTGCGAACCAGGTTGGGCCGCAGATAGGCCAGCAAAAGTTCAGAGGCTCTGAATCACATTGCTGACCCTGGGGTGTATTTCAAACAATTACATTTCGGGGAACCAATGTGGAGAAAGCGACAACGTGGCTCTTTAGCCCCTTGGAAATAGAAACATGAAGCACAAAGGAGGCCTTCATGAGCAGATTGCCCCTTAAGTCATTTGTTTCCTAGATTTCCTGCCCCTGCTGCTGACATGCCAAGCCAGAGCGTTGGGTTTTAATTTTTCATAGCGTTTTTAAATCGATACATTTGCAAAGGTAAACATGCCTCAGCACTGAGGGCTTCCAGCCAAATGAAAAAGTCGGCTCTGAAAAATCAGCTCTTGGAGAAAGGTCAAAGCAAGCACACGCTAGAGTTCATTGGGTCCATATGTGTAAACTTCTGCTAAGGTGGGACAGGCCCAGCCAAACACTTACTCTCACTGAAGTGAGGCTCATTTTAAAATAAAAGCATTGAGCTGCCCTTAGGGATGCCTGTGGTCTGAGTGATAGGATTTAACGTGTTGAATGAAAAAAGCCTACATCCTCTCTCGCCACTTGGATTTCCATTACACTTTATCCATTCACTCTAATAATTCTAATTCTAAAGAAGGTTGGGGAGGATAATGTGCCATTTGGCATTAATTCCCATCACTCGCAGTTAGATAGTCTTAGAGGGGAACCACGCTGAGCTTAATAATCTCCAGTGACGTGTCTATAAAAGCTTAATTTTGCTATGAAGATGCATGCCTTTCAGCCTTTAATTTAATAATCAGGAAAGGTTTCTTTATAAGTTGTGCCACCTGCGGTAGTAAATAGAAAGCGGGACAATGCCTGTTATTTCATAGGCTTGCTTGATGTTTAAACGGTCTGTGGCAAGAACTGAGCCACTGACAGCTTTTTCATTGGGATTGTTATTTTTTTTACCTGTGATTTGTCAGAACTTGCTATCAAAAGGAAGAGCTGAGGACTGGGCGTCTCTGAAGTGAGGAGATTTCATTTAGAACAGCAGATGAGGAAATCTTCTTCTTGCCAGTGAATTATAATAGTGGGTTGGTTTGGGGGGAGGGGGAAAGAGTTGGTAGAAGAGAAGAAAAACAAATAGAACTTATGGCGTAAAAGTAGGTTCCTTAAAAGGTTCTATGGTTATGTGCTGACCTTCCTTCCTCCACCTTAGACAGTGTTTGATCTCCCACATTAGGCCACATGAATGCCCTGGTTCACCTGCCTGGAAAGGTGTTATTCTTACAGCTTCTGCCGCTGGGCTCAGAAATGTTTCTGCAGCTAAAGAGCTACAGGAAAAGAAGTCTGAGCTGCATTAGCGAGGACTGTTGCCAGAGGTGAAAGCATCACACCTCCCTGGTGCTAGTACACCATTAAAGGTCTCAGAGGACTGCTTAGTAGGTGGAAGAGCTTGAAGATTAGTCTGGCTGAATTATTCCGTACCTCACACCTTTATATTGAATAGCAGAGTAGGGTACATGCATTCCATGTGCCAGGTTAGTGTGATATGAATGCTTGTTTGCTAAGATTAAGGGCCCGATCCTGAGCAGTGCAGGGAACCCATGACTCCCACTGAAAAGCCCTGAGGCAGGATCTTTAAATCCATTACCATAAGGGGCCTGACTCAGCACTGAGTCAGAGCACCGGGCCACGGTTCAGTGCACAGTTGATCGCAGTGGGTGGGAATGGCTCAGTCAGGAGCAGTTCAGGCGTGAGTGGGAGACATGAGAACATCCCGGGGAAGGCAGAAGCTTGGAAGAAAGAGTCTGTCTGGGAAAGGGCAGACCAGGCTAAGGTGAAGAGTGTCCAGGGTGCTTCTCAAGGTTTTGGTGGCTCCAGGTCTCATTTAGCCTTCATCTACCCCTCCTGACTGCTGGAATGAGAAGGGGCTTGGGGTTAACCAGCAGATACCCAGCCATTTGTTTGTTATAATACCTTGCACTTCTGTAGGCCCTTCAAAGCATGCCAAGACCTGAAAGTGCTTTGCAAACAGTGCACAATCCTGTGGCTCAGGGAAGCATTATTACTCCCTGTGTCAAGGTGCAAGAACTGAGGCACAGGGACATTAAAACTGAAATTTTCAAACATGGGTTCCTAAAGTGAGGCACCTAAACCTATACTTAGCATATAAATGAAATGTGCAGATTTTGAAAGCTCTAGTGGGCTGATTTTGAATCGGTTATGTCATGCAGAACATAACAGCATGATCCCAGGGGGGTGGGTAGAAAGGATCACTGCTCCATGGATTGGCATGTACATAGAATACATTAACTTTCACTTTGAAATCTCTTACTGTACTGGATCCTAATTATCCTTCCAAACTTCCAGCTTCATCTGGCCAAAACTTGGGGGGGGTTCGGTTAACAAGATATTTCAGTATTTTGGAATTTGCTTTCAAAGTGCAAATTTTAGGAGACTATCTTGCAAACCAAAGATTCTGGAAAATTTGATTTGGGAACACTGAAACATGTTCCTGAAAGGGGATAAGTGAAATTGACGTTCTTGACTGTGTCACATATGTTATTCATTGTATCATGGTTGCTATTCCAGCCAGGGCTCTCTGCTGCAGAACTGTGGACCCTGGAACACTGGCAGCTTTCCAATGTAACCTGCTTGTGTTTTGACTGAAGTTTTGTGTCGAATTTGTAATAGATTCAGCAAAACATCTTGCTTCAATGAATTCATCAGAAAATTTCTGACCAGCCCTATTGTCAGCACCATAGGTGCCAACTCCATGGGTGCTCTGGGGCTGGAGCACCCATGGGGGAAAAAATGGTGGGTGCTCAACCTCCGATCACTGCCTCCCCCTCTCTCCCAGCGCCTCCCGCCTGCCACGATCAGCTGTTCAGCTATGCAGGAGATGCTGGGGGGAGGGGGTGGAGTGAGGGCAGGGGGTTGGAGCAGGGGTGGGAAGAGGCGGGGCGGGGTGGGGCCTTGGGGAAGGGATGAAGTGGAGGCGGGGCTTGGGTTGGAGCTGGGAGGTCGAATACCCCCCTGGCAAATCACAAAGTCGGCACCTATGGTCAGCACCTAATGGAAGCACAATTTTTGGTTCTCTGGTCATAGAAGGACTAGAGAGGTAGTGGTATGGTTCTTATTTTTGCCTCTGCTACCCTGGATGTTTGAATTTATTCAAATTAGAAACAAGGCACCCATTTTTAACATTGAGGGTGATTAACCACTGCAATAAACTAACCAAGGGATTGCTGGATATGCCATATCTTGATATCTTCAGATCAAGACTGAATGCCTTTCTGGAAGATATGTTTTAGCCAAGCTCAAGTTTTTGGGCTCAGTACAGTGAAATTCTATGGCCTGCATTGTATACAGGACGTCAAAGTAAATGATCTAATGGGTCCTTCTGTCCTTCAAAATCTATAAATGCCTTCACATTACATCTAAGAACAGCCGTGGAACTGGGCTCTTTTTTTTTTTTTAAATACTATTTTTTTATTATATCACAAACATTTTCCCCTGGATCTTTCAATAGATGTTAGTGTGTTAACTGATGTGACTCTCATGGGTCTCCTGTTGACTTCAGTGGGAGTTTTGACCATCTGAGGATGGCCAGTTCCGTTGCTTAGAACTTTTGTGTGTTTGCAATTTGAGGAAGTGCCTAGCATGGCAAATCCAAGCGAGATAAATAAGATACATGAATCTTATAGGGCCATATTCAAGCCTGGTGAAGAATTCTGTCTGGGCACTATATGGCTCACATCACCACAGCACCCCACAACAACACCCCTGTTGATGTAGGGAAGTTCTATCCTCATGTCACTGATGGGGAAACTCCAGAAGAGGGTAGAATAAATGACTTGCCTAAGGTCACACAGGAAATATGTGATGGAGCTAGGAATTGGTCCCAGGTCTCTTAAGTACCAGTCTAGTGTCCTATCCACTAGACCAGCCTTTCTACCCTGGATGGCGCTTCAGTGAAATTGCACCACTAATACCAGTTCTGAATTTGGCACATAGACTTTAAAATAAACTAATAAACCAAGCCATCATGATGTCTGTTCAGAGATAATGCTGACACTCAATCTTTGGGCATCATGGATGTGAAAATAACTGCTGAGACAACCTCCCATTATTATGCAGCTTTTGCAGATTCTGCTCAGAATAAACAGAAGCACTTTTAAAAGATTATTAATTATCCTTCCCCTGACAGATACTCGGTAGGAAAACCATTAGTGGCTGTCCGGGTGAACTCTCGGTTTCTGGAGCAGTGTCATTGTTTTCTGCTTTTTCATTTTCTTTGCAGATCTGAAACCCTGGGTGTCGAATTTCACCTATCCAGGTGTACACGACTTTTCTCAGCTCGCACTGGATGCCAACAGGAATCAGCTCGTTGTGGGAGCAAGGTAAAGATGATCTTGTAATTAGACCAGAATTGCAGTTCAAGCTCTTTCCCTGCAGGTTACTGGCTTCAGGGTAGATTGTCTGCCTGTCTGTCTCTCAAAGAGAGGGCTGTAATTATATAGGGATTTTAGAATCTCAATATAATTGTAAAGAATTGAAATCATGACTTTTTTTAAACCATCTGAAATGCAATTAAAATGAAACAGGAAGCTGCTGTCTCCCAGGGAATAACAGATGTTAGAAAAGTTCTAGTAGGCCAGTGTAGTCCATCGCTCTGCCAATGCAGGATTGAGCCCCATGGTTTATTTATCGGTGGTTTGTCTAGTCAAGTTTTCTAGCTATACCATGTTCATTATTGAAAAGGCTCCCATCTCTCTGCAATGCCATAACTGGAACAATTGTCTTTTACTTTCAACTCTTTTCCCCCGTTGGCAGAGTTCAAATTTAACCCTGCTGTGCAGCGTTCCTTGTGGATGTTTTGCTTTTATTAACTAAGAATATATTTGCACAATCAGAAAATCTGAAATCTAAGAGTAATAGGTAACAAATCAGTGGCAGCATCTTGCAGATTGGTGTCACGTAATGAGATATGCGTGTCTGTGTTAAAAGTAATTACAGACAAAAGCGTTGCAGCGGCAAGACTGCCAGGGAAGAGGTTATTCCAAATACTGGAGCAAAGAATAGGCAGATTGGAACACACTGTTCTTCTGCCAGAGTTATACAGATGGTGAATGGATTGGGCAGAACAGCCCGAGTTAGCTGCTCAAAAATAAATGGGTTTTATGAAGGAGGCAACCTAAATTTCCTAATTCAATGAATGGGCAAGAGATGCATGGAGTGTTTTAGATGGCTGAGGTGAAAAGTGAGAGTGGTAAATTAAAAGCAACTGTTTCAACCTTCAGTGTCCGCATGCGATGGCCCTGCTGTCTTTTGGTCCAGAAGGGGTAACCTGGGGAAAGGTATAAAGGGCTTTGTGGAGGACGTTTACTGCCCTACCAAGTATGTGACAGAGCCGTTTGAGATGTGCTAGCTCAAGGTTATCTCATTACCTGTTGGGCAGTGGCAGGAGCAGCTAAGGAGAGTTGATTGTAAAGACCCAACTCAGACTAAAGCCAACATTTGCACTGTACAAGAACTTGCTGACTAGAAGAGAATAAAAGCTTTAAAAGGGGGATAGTTGAGACCCTGTGAGACAATCTGCATGGCTACAAACTGAAGTGTAGCAGCTTGGCCGAAAAAAGGATGGTGCAAATGGAGACATGCAGAAAGACTGGGAAACCCAAAGGGAAACCTATAACTTCCCCGAGAAGGAAGCTGCAGGGAATGTCACTCTGGGGAGATAGCCTGCTGGAACTGTGGATGGTGAGAAGCATCTATAAGGAGACTGTCCTTTTGCAGCAAGTTGAGGTGCTGCTATGGAAAAGCAGCCAGAAAGCATCATGACAAGAAGTCTCCATTGTTCAGCCTGCCCAGGGGATGGCCAGCTCCAGCAGGAGCTATAAAATCATAGAATCATAGAATCATAGAATC